TCTAACTTCATTATGTAGTCTGCTTCTTGTGTTAGGCGCTTTATTTGAAGCCCCTTCATCTCTTCTTTTATGTTGGTGCATTATACAATGGTTTATAAATTATTTTTATATCATCAATGAATATTGTTGAATTTGAAGAAGGTGAATATTGAAAGCCATTATAGAGTGAATAACAGAGATTAGCAAACCACACAAAACCAAATCCCGAAACGGATTCTGTTTGTAGATTTCTGTTGTTTAAAAGTGCAGATAATCAATAGCAAGTTGTAGCTTCAGACATGGCAAGACACGAAAGTATCGTAAATACTTGTGTTTTTTCACTTCAACAATATGTGTAAGTAAGCACAGGTGCAGAAGGACAAGCAAGAAAAGGAAACATATGGGTCATGGGGGGGGGTGGGTGTGACCATATTTCTATATATATTTATTCGTGTATATATATATATATACACATATTATCTGACATGCGGTGATTCCTCATCCTGATGGCCTTGAGGCCAACATCACTCACCTTGTTAAGAAGCCGGCCACCAGCCCTTTTGCTACTGGGCCTGCACATGAACGTGAACAGGACCTCCCCAACGCCATGCTACGAGTGTTGTGAGTCAGCTCAGGCGCCGTGGAATGAAGACTTCATGAGCCTGGAAGAAAAACGGCTTGCTGATGATGTTTTGTATGGATTGAATGCTGCAGCTTGGCGCACTAACCAACATTCTCCGTGCCTGGGACTAGCACCCCAGAGAGCATAGGGCCTCCCTTGCAATCTTAGGATACATTTGGGCTCCAGGAGCTCTGGGCGCTGTGAGTGCTCACCTGTGTGTTGTCTTGATTGCGCGTGAAGCGTCTGGAGTGCTAATGGCCACCTCTTCTTGGTGCAAGAAAGCACATACAGCAGAAGGGGGGGGGAGGAGGCAGCGAAGACAGTGGTGAGAGGTGGCTATATACATCATCAGGGGGCATCATTTCTGACCTACCTGACCGTCTTAGAAGTATTGTGTTACTTCTTGTCGTGCATTGGTTCAGCCTTTCTGTTGGAGCAGTGCAGGCCTACCTTGTTCATGTAACCATATGGCATCCAGATCTCCTTGTGAACTTCCTCACATCATGCTCCGGTCCTCCTTGCATTCATGAAGATGCTTCACCTTTCCATGAGCAGCTACGCTTACGCGAGGTTGCATTTAGCCTGTTCGACCGTTGGGATGTTCCCATCGCAGGATCCCGATTTCAGGATGATGATCCAGCGGAGCGTCACACTGTTTACAGAAATGAAGTGTTTGACGGATGCCTGCCTGCAGAGGGGTGCAAGTTGCAGCTGTTCTTTTTGCAATGTTGCGTTGCGGTTCAGTATTGCAGGGCAGCTCAGCTAGATCTTGCTGGTCTCGAGGGCACTGTATCTGCGCGGGTTATCTGCGCGGGTCGCTTTCGCAGGAGGGATTTAATGTCAGGGCTTTTGCGGGACGGCATTGGTTGTCCCGAGGAATGTGCTATGGTACTCCAGCCCCAAGCTCAGCGCGGTGCTTGCAAGAGATGTGGTGCTCAGTGGAAGACACAACTGGGATGTTCCCCCTGATACAGCAGTCCTCAGTCGGGATCATAAGAGGATAAGTCACTTGGATACACTGCTCGAACCCCAGGGCTCCCCTCTAAAAGCAGTTCTCCCAAGGACGCTGATGACCTTCTCGGGGCTTGGTGGCCTTGTGCCCAAAAAGTGTGTGTTCCGACCTTCCCCCCCCGTAACCCATCCTAGCCTCACCCGCAGTGCCGAGGCACCATCTTTTTGACCAACAAGCTGGGATCGAAGCATGTTGTTGAGGTGATGGAGTTCGTTAGTGCCTGGCCCCGCATGGACGGTTTAGGGTTTCGGGTTTAGGGATTTGCCGATCAAACTGCACTGTTTCTCTGCATATGTGGGCTCTGGCTGGCTGAGCGCTCTTTCTTCGCCCAGGTGCCCGTGTCAAATCCGCAGCCTCTTGTCTGGAAATCTGTTGACAGAGGTTTCAGTCCCTGCATTCTTTACGCCTTGCACAGCCAAGGAAAATGATATCATTGCCATAGGGGACAAGGCGGAGGCTCGTATTGGGCACTGCACAGCCGGGCGAGCACGAACAACTACCAGTTGCTTAAGAACCCCCCCAACAATTATGCTTCCTTTTAAGGGGAAGAGGTGGATTCTATTTATATCTATATATATATATATTTACTTTACTATATTATTATTTTTTTGGGGGCGGGGGGGTTCTTAACTAAATAGTAGACAAAGATCCTCGGATCGCTGCCGCCAGCCAGGCGGGCTGGTCCTACCTTCGACGACAAGGGGTTGAGTCGATGTGGTCGAACTCCAGCCCGGCAGCTCGATGCAATTGGCATCTTCTGCCATGCTGACGCGTGCCCCTAAACCCTAAACCCAAAGAAACTAAACCCTAAGCCCTAAACCCTAAGCCCTAAACCCTAAACCCTAAGCCCGAAACCCTAAACCCTGGGCATGGTTCCAGAGTTTAGCAACTGGAGATGAGGTAGACAACGCGCGCATGGCTCTTCGCGTGCACCCACTCAGATACCGCTATCATGTGACAGCTGCAGCAGCGGTTCCGAACCCTCCCCCATGGAACTTCCGGGAGGTTCGAAGCGACATCCACAGCATCGTCCAGGAAGTGATTGAAGCCGCAAAAGGGGTGCAGGTGCGATGCTTTCGGAGGTGAGAGTTGTTTCCAAGCTTCTGTCGCAGAGCCAGGTTGAAACAGTGACGGCAAACCAGCTTGAGCAAAATGACATCGAGCACCTTGCACTCACATTTGGCTCTAAAATCCCATGCCCTATAGTGCTTGAATCTGCCAAGGGAAGAAATCTCCCAAGAAGTCAACTTGTACGAGCGACTTTGGAAGGTACTGCGCTCAGAGGTTTCGCATTGTTTTCGCAGCATGTATTCTACTACCAGTTTACTACCACGATGACCGATAAACAATCATCGAATGGCCATTGAAGCTGTCGGTTGAGTGTTTTCTGTATGTGTTCTCCCGACTTTGTCTTAGAAGAAGCTTATTTGCTTGACTGAGATCATCCATGTGCGGTTCGACAAGACGGGTACTGGGAAGTCTGCTATTCAAGCTGCTGTTCATGTGCATGATTGGAGCAATGCTGCTTGGCACCATCGGCACGACAAAATCGTCAGCATGAGCTCCGCCTAGGAAGTTTCCGGTGGGACAAGTTGAAGGGAGGTGTTTCGCTCTTGCCCTTTCTGTTGTTACGGGGCGTTTTTTTGCGGGGTCTCTTTGACTCCCTAAACCCTAAACCCTGAACCCTGAACCCTAAACCCTAAACCCTCAGGATCAAGACTTTCTGGAAGATGACCCGGACTTGATCATCGACAATGTCTGATGACTGTCCGATTGCGAATGAAACCCCCACACCCGAAACCCCACACCCAAAACCTCAACTTTGAGCGTGCGTATGCAGGGTTTTCTACGAGTCCCTCGTTTGAAGCTATCCCTGCGATGTGGATTCATTCGCCCCAGCTGCGCTGGGCGGGAAAGAAAGCCCTAAACCCCAAACCCCAAGCCTAACACTCTAAGCCCTAAACCCTAAACCCGAAACCTAAAATCTCAAACCCCGATCCCTAAACTCAAGACCCAAAACCTTAAGCCCTAAACCCTAAACCGTAAACCCTAAACCTAAACCCCATAAACTCATTTCCGGCGTAGGAGTCCGCGTTTCACGGGGCCAAAGGCCGCCCATCCGCAGAGGTGCCCATCGTGGCTGGCACGAGAGGAGAGTCGAGTGCCAAGTAGTTCCTTGGTATAGACGTATATGTTTATATACATATGTACATATATACATATATACATGTACACATATATACATATGTACATATATACATTACATATATATATATATATATATATACATATACAATTATACAATTATACAATTATACAATTATGCAATTATACAATTATACATATATACATATATACATATATACATATATACATATATACATATATACATATATACATATATACATATATACATATACACATGTGCATATACATATACATATCATTCCTCAACACATACATGTAAATACGTTTGATTTCTTTGACATTTCTGTTCTGACGAAAGGTAGAGACATAGATAGATACAGGTATATGAGCTTATATATATATATCTATATATCTATATCTAGATAAATGTCTATATCTATATCTATATCTATATCTATATCTATATCTATATCTATATCTATAACTATATCTATATCTATATCTATAGGTATGTATATGGACCGTATAGAGCGACCGTTACCATGAATGTGGCGACAAAGCATTGCAGAGCGGCTCAGTGCCGCAGTGCAGCGCGGTGCAATTCAGTAGCCCCCGGACTCATCAGACCCAAGGCTGTTGAGGTGGGGGTTTCCGAAATCCGGGGTTTAGGGTTTAGGGTTTAGGGTTTAGGGTTTAGGGTTTAGGGTTTAGGGTTTAGGGTTTAGGATTTAGGGTTCTACAGAGCCTGGGTTCAAAAAGGATTTAGGGTTTAGGGTTTAGGGGTACCTTATTGGGGTCCTCATTCAAAGGAATCCCACTACTGGGGTGTATTTAGGGGTCCCTTATTTTCGTAAACTCCCAAGTTTGTTTGCCTGACGCAGGGGCATAATTTGTAGCAGCACCTTATCCTTCCAGAGCCCTCCTTCTTGTTTGTCAAGGGTCCTCATGAGTTTAGGGTTTAGGGTTTAGGGTTTAAGGGTTTAGGGTACGCAGTCCAGTTGCAAAAAGGGGTTTAGGGTTTGGGGGGGGGCTTAGGCAAGGACCCGGCCAAGAAGTGGGCTCTGGAAGTTTAACGTAGTTGTAGGCATGACCGCCCAAGGCGGCGATGGCAGTTTACAGGCAAAAGCTTTTGAGGCCGCAAGACTTTGCAGTTTAGGGTTTAGGGCTTAGGGTTTAGGGTAGTAGTTTCGGGAAATGCAGGAAGAAGGGAGCTCGTCCCACACAAAGCCCACCGAACAGGCTTGGCTGCACTTCGGCAACGGCTGGGGAATCGTCGATGCATCCGGTCGTTCGCTGTATGACGCGGATCTTCACGCCCTGGCCGACTTCCCAAGTTTTGGTGCGGGTGCGACTGATCTTGAAACCTTGAGTTGTGTCGGCGTCCACTCCAGGTGCGAACTGCTGTGATTTGCTGCGGCCCTCAGGGTTCTTTGAGGTTGCGAATCCTTGAGTCCATGAGTCTACGAACCAAAAAGAGATGCTTCCCCAGGCGCAGCACAAGGACACCCACTCCGGGAGTTGAACATAAGTCCGTACCCTACCGGTCTCTCTCTTCATCTTGTGCGTGCTGAGATTAGTGCTTCTGCACTCTTTGTGGTGCATCTCATGATGCCTTGCTCATCATGCAGTATTGAAGGAGTCCTCCGGGGAAGGTTCGTGCGTTCATTGAGGCGGCAACAAGATGACGGATGCTGGGTTCCAGGAGGTGCGAGACGGCCCGTGAATCGCCGTCGGGCACTGTAGGGTGCAGGCGATTTAGCAGCCTTCAGGTGCTGGCGCTGCTCCAACAATGCCGATCGCATGGGGAACGGGAAGGCCATCACCCTAGACGCTCACAGGACCAGTCGCGAAATTCAGGGCGGTATGCGTGCAGTATCGTTGAAACTGAGGGCGGAGGAGAGGCCTAGGCCTGTCAGACGCCTCGGAGCACCAGGTTCGGCAGACTCATGTGAAGTTGTGAAGTAGCTGCCTGCGGTGACCTGGTGGAAGGACTTAGATCCCGGAACAATGCAGCTGGAGACTCTTAATGTGGCTTCTCGGCTGAAGCCAAAGCCTCCAGCAGGTCTAGCGACCTTTTTCACCCAGTTCTGAAAGACGAACAAGAGTTGTCATCGGGCGGTTCGGTCGATACCAATACTTCTGCGGTATTATGCGGTGTGGTATTGCTCTTATTGCGGCGTGTGCGGTTGGTTGCGGTTCGGCCCCTCCCACAGGCCCCTCCCACCCAAGCCCCTCCCCCACCCCTTTTTCCTACCTTCCCCCTTCCCCCCTCCCACCTAAGACCTCCCACCTTAGACCTCCCACCTAAGCCCTCCCCACTCCCACCTGGCCCCCCTCCCCCCTCCTCCCCCCTAAGACCTGCCCGAAGACCCGCCCTTTCCTCCCACCTAAAGGGCCCTCCCCACTCCCACCTACCCCCCTCCCCCCTCTCCCCACCTAAAACCTCCCCCTAAGACCCCACCTAAGACCTCCCACCTCACCTTCGACCTCCACCCAGCCCTCCCCTTCCTCCCACCTGCCCTCTCCCCCTCCCACTAGCCCCCCCCTCCCCCTCCTTCGCCTCCAAAGCCCTCCCACTCCCCACCTAAGGCCCTCCCACTCCCACCAAAGACCTCCCACCGAGACGTCCCACCTTCGACCTCCCACCCAAGCCCTCCCCTTCCTCCCACCTAAGGGCCCTCCCCACTCCCACCTAACCCCCCCTCCCCCCTCCTCCCCACTTAAGACCTCCCACCTAACACCTCCCACCCAAGACCTCCCACCTAAGACCTCCCCCACCTGACCTCGACCTCCCACCTAAGACCTCCCACCCAAGACCTCCCACCTAAGACCTCCCACCTAAACCCCCCCTTCGCCCTCCCACCAAAGACCTTCCACCGAACTCCCACCTAAGACCTCCCACCAAACACCCCCCCAAGACCTTTCACCTAAAACCTCCCACCTAAGACCTACCCCTCTTGTACACCCTCCCCTCGCCACACCTTTGCCCCTCCCCCCACTCCCACCTGGCCCCCCTCCCTCCCACCCAAAACCTCCCACCTACGACCTCCCACCCAAGATCCCACCTGCCTAAGCTCCTAAACCCTTCCTTGCCCTCCAGCCGCTGTCCGCCCAGGCCTTCCCAACCCCCCCCCCCCTCCCCTTTCCTTTCCCACAAAGGCTGCTTAGGTGTGCAGCTTCTCCAGCAACGCCACGCACAGGACCGGAGCTTTACGTGGGTGGGCGGGTGGTGGGGCAGGGTGGGAAGGGCCCACTAGGCAGGTGGGCGTGGGGGTTGGGGAAGGGGGTGGGGGTGCAGGTGGGAGGTTTGGGGAGGGGTGGGGTTAGGTGGGTGGGAGCAGGGGTTGGTAGTTGGGAGTGGAGGGGGGGTTCGGTGGGGGGGGGATGGGTGGGAGTTGGTTGGTTGGGAGGGGGGGGTAGGTGGGAGTTGGTAGGTGGGAGGGGGGCAGGTAGGTTGGTAGGTGGGAGGGGCTGGGTGGGAGGGGGTAGGTGGGAGGGGGGGGGGGGTAGGTGGGTTCCCCCTCCCACCTAAGACCTCCCACCCCCCCCTCCCCCCTCCTCCCCCCTAAGCCCTGCCCGAAGACCCGCCCTTTCCTCCCACCTGAAGGGTTCCCCCCTCTCCCCACCCAAAACCTCCCACCTAAGACCTCCCACCTAAGACCTCCCACCTCACCTTCCACCTCCACCCAAGCCCTCCCCTTCCTCCCACCTGCCCTCCCCACTCACACCTAGCCCCCCCTCCCCTAGACGTCCCACCTTCGACCTCCCACCCAAGCCCTCCCCTTCCTCCCACCTAAGGGCCCTCCCCACTCCCACCTAGCCCCCCCTCCCCCCTCCTCCCCACCTAAAACCCCACCTAAGACCTCCCACCAAAGACCTCCCACCGAGACGTCCCACCTTCGACCTCCCACCCAAGCCCTCCCCTTCCTCCCACCTAAGGGCCCTCCCCACTCCCACCTAACCCCCCCTCCCCCCTCCTCCCCACTTAAGACCTCCCACCTAACACCTCCCACCTCCCAAGACCTCCCCCAAGACCTCCCACCTAAGACCTCCCCCACCTGACCTCGACCTCCCACCTAAGACCTCCCACCCAAGACCTCCCACCTAAGACCTCCCACCTAAACCCCCCCTTCGCCCTCCCACCAAAGACCTTCCACCGAACTCCCACCTAAGACCTCCCACCAAAAGACCCCCCCAAGACCTTTCACCTAAAACCTCCCACCTAAGACCTACCCCTCTTGTACACCCTCCCCTCGCCACACCTTTGCCCCTCCCCCCACTCCCACCTGGCCCCCCTCCCTCCCACCCAAAACCTCCCACCTACGACCTCCCACCCAAGATCCCACCTGCCTAAGCTCCTAAACCCTTCCTTGCCCTCCAGCCCCTGTCCGCCCAGGCCTTCCCAACCCCCCCACCCTCCCCTTTCCTTTCCCACAAAGGCTGCTTAGGTGTGCAGCTTCTCCAGCGACGCCGCGCACAGGACACCTGCCTAGGTGGGAGTGGGGGTTGGGGAAGGGGGTGGGGGTGCAGGTGGGAGGTTTGGGGAGGGGTGGGTTAGGTGGGTGGGAGCAGGGGTTGGTCGGTGGGAGTGGAGGGGGGGTTAGGTGGGAGGGGGAGAGGTGGGAGTTGGTTGGTTGGGAGGGGGGGGTAGGTGGGAGTTGGTAGGTGGGAGGGGGCAGGTAGGTTGGTAGTGGGAGGGGCTGGGAGGGGAGTTGGTGGGTGGGAGGGGGTAGGTGGGAGGGGGTAGGGTTGGAGGGGTGGGGGGGTGGTGGGGTGGTGAGGGGTGGGTGTGGAGGGGGGGTTAGTTGTGGGAGGATAGGCGGGTTAGGTGGGCGGGGGTGAGGTTGTTAGTGTGGGGTGGGTTAGTGGAGTGGTTTGGGTGGGAGTGGTAGGTGGGAGGGGGTCAGGTGGGAGTGGGATTGGGATGGTTTGAGGGTCATTTGGTGGGGGGTTGGGGTGGTGAGGGGGGGGTAGTAGGTGAGTGGGTTTGGGGGGTTAGGTTTGAGGGAAGGGGGGGGGTGGGATGGAGAGGGGGGGTAGGTGGGGGGGGTAGGCGGGAGTGTGTTGCTTGGTGGGAGGGTTGAGGGGGGGGGGTTAGGTGGGAGTGCGA